TGAAACTATGAAAAATTGCCATTCTCAAGTTGAGACTAACATTCATTTTGTTAAGTTTGTTGTGCAATGTCTTTGTTTTTGTCATTTTCAATTCATTACAATAGGTCTGAATTAGACTTAAAATTGGAATAAAAATTGAAGCAAAAATTTGCAGGTCCTATGACTTCGCCAAACATCTTTTCCAACTTATTTCCATCGATTCATCATGAAATTTCCCGAATCAAAGCGTACCAGGTGGGTCACCTCCCTTGTTAGTGTAATTGATTGAATAAACCATTTGATACAGAATTTTTATTTCATCTTTTATTATATGAAGTTGAAGAAAAAAGCTGCAAACTTTTCAACTTGTTCCTACTTTTGTATCAATGGATGAAAAGGCAAAATGGAAAGAAGATGAAAAAGAGAGAAGAAAATGTTTCCTTTTATATTTTGTTTCTCCTTTCAATCTGAAGGGAAGATGAAGATGCATGGGGATGAAATGGATGATGATAATGATTTGAGCCTGAACCGGAATCAAAACAAAATTACAGTTATCAATTTCGCTGTTTTTTACTGCAACCAAGATGGGCGCAGTCTCAACGACAATCTCCTTGTCTTCATGTTGATCATCATTTTCATCTTTCATCATCATTCCGTAACTCATTCATTGAGCAAGTTCAACTGTTTTCACAAGTTTATCACTGCAAGCTCAACTTTTTGTCCTATTACTTGTTTTGCTCAAATGTTTTAGTGAAAAAAAGGAAAAGTGAACAAAAATAAAAGTTTCCAAAATTGCAAAGGTCGATACTGACCATCAAAGGCAAATGGATTTAATCAATTTTGGTGTTCCATTCAATTTGTGCAGCTTTTCATCATAACTGGACAAAGTTGATAAATAATACTAATTCAGTGTGTTGCAGTTGACACTTGCCAAGCAATTGGATTAATTGTGATTGTCATCAGGATTTATCAATGATTCACTGAAATGGGAATAAAGGTAAATTGTTTTCCTTGCAAATTGACTGGCAAACCTGAAGAACCTGAAAAATGTTAAAAATTTCAATTTTAATCGTTCCCACACTCATTAGCTTCTGTTTAATCATTTCATCATTTCATGAACATTTCACGAAAATTTCATGTGATAATGTAAAATGATAACATTTAATTATGTGCAAAGTTGAATTTTGTGAATAAAAATATTCATTTAAACCTTCCTTTTGCTCTGCCAAACCCATTATCAGTATTTCGATCGCAATTAACTGATGATATTAATCAACTATTAACCATCTTAATAACAAGATTGAATAGAGAATCTAATTTTGGCATCAATTTATTAAGTGTTGAAATTTGATGAAATTGGAAATTCTTATTCTGAGTTTGAAACCTTAATCAACTTTATATTGTTTGTTATTGACTTTACTTTTGACTTTTGCAAATTGTTTAATCATTAAACAGTTAACTTGTTAATTAACTGATCAATGAAAGTGAAAAATGATTAAAAGTATTCATAAGTTTTGGGCAAAAGTTTATGAAAAATATGCTTTTTTGTGTTGAATTTACTTTTGTTTTGCCTTTGTTTTTCATCTCTTATTATTTGGCAAAGTGTTGAGCCAACAATATTTCATGATGATGATGCTTAACATTTTCATTACTTTGATTTATCATCATCATTACAATATTAAAATGATGATGAACACGATGATTAAAATCATTTACACTTGTTAATATGTTTTCACGTACATCATGATAATCAGCATCTTCATCATCCAGTTACCAGGGTAACTATAGATTAATTATATTTTTTTCGTGGTGCAAGATGAAAATGATTGTTGGATGGTTCTGAAAGGGCTTTTAATGGTCGTAATTGCTTTCAATTGAAAAGATGTCCAAAAGTTAATTGGATAATTACTTTCGCTTTTTTCTATTTAGTTTTTGTTCAATTTTCAGGTATGAAACAAGTTGACGATGAAGACAAAGAAGATTAAAGGTTGATGAAAAAAAAACGATAACAAGAAGGCTGGGAGTGAAGTTTCGGGACTGACTTGGCCTTCTTTAAGTTGAATTTGATGGGGCAAGAGTGATTTTGCTAGGTTACAATCTTCATCTCAAAGTGCCTAACCGGGCTTGCTTTTATCGATGGTGAATATGATGATAAAAGTCATGCAACTGATGATGATGATGATGATTGGAATGATATGGGAATGAAAATTTTGGATCAAAATATTTTACGTACTGCAGACCCTTACAAGCTATCGCATTTGATGGGAAAAGAGTGACTTTGTTGGGTTACAGATCTGTTACCCTTTGGCTTACTGGCCATACTTGACTGGTTAACTTGATTACTTTTGTTGTGAATTTGACCCTCTTATTGAACTGAATTTGATGGGGCGAAAGTGACTCTGTTAGGTTTGTAGTTGTAATACCAGAGTTTCAAGTGAACTTGGATGATGAAAATGAAAATGATGATGATGAGTTAATTTAAGAGCCTTCAAGTGGCTGAGAAAAGATAAATGATTCAAAATTTGAATGAATAAAATTTTGTGTGACTCTTTAGTCTTCAACTTGAGAACCTTCATCTAAAGGCAAAAAGCTGAGTTGATGATGAAAGCTATTCTAGGAATAAGATGAAGATGTAAATGATGGAAATGTTGGTGAGGAAAAAATGTAAAGGAGTATTAAAGTGCTGTTGATAATCACCCTTATGATGATAAGAAAAATTTGGCCGTAAAATGCTAAAAATAGGGAAGAAAAAAATTGTTGACTCTTTTGACATTTGTTAATCGTTAATTATAC